AAACTTAGCCTACCTTAAATTTTATATAATCCATATTAATATTACAGTAAATGACACTAGGGGGAGTAGTATTGCCTCTGCAAATAAATCTAACATTTTTTTTGCCAGGGCTGACATGATGGAAGCATGGAACCATCTCAACCCACTGTCAGGAAATCATCGCAATCACTCACGTCAGCACAACTCACGCCAGCACAGTCACCTCCTCCGACACACACCAGATCCCAATCACCCGAATTCTGATCACCTGCACCTGCAATCACCAATCAAGCCCGCTATATCTTCTCACTCCACTCAGCATTCCAGTGTCCGGTCTACCGTTCACTACCTGAACATTGCAGACTCCTTACAAGCTTTACTAACTGTTGTTTCCTTAACTCCAGAAGTCCATTCAGTCTCCGCTATTCCGATTCTCCTCAGCCCCGGTTCATCTCCAGGATCTCTACTACTATCATAACCCAGATTACCAAGAAGCTAAGATACCATCTTATTGACTGGGAAGGATACGGACCGGAGGAGAGGTCCTGGGTGGCCCACGACGACATACTGGATCCATCCCTGCTGGAAGAATTCCACCGCAACCATCCAAGCCGTCCCGCACCCCGAAGTCGCGGTCGCCCTCGTCGCTGTATGGGGGCGTCAGGAGCCGCCCCTGGAGGAGGGGGGATTCCTACTATCATAACCCAGATTACCAAGAAGCTAAGATACCCAGAACTTTCTCATATCTCTCTTACTCACCTGCCTTCGATCCTAACCATCACAGCATTGACAATAAACCCCTCTGTTTACCTGAACTCCTCTTGTCTCTTGCCTGTTTGTGACACCCATAGTATGTTTTTTTTTTTGTTTTTTTTTAATCCAATAATTTAGGAATAATAATAATATTATTATTATTATTATTATTATTATTATCATCATCATTTAACTAATGTATCCATTTGATCTTTTACAAAAAGATTGCATGGTTGGCATTCTAAGGGGTTTAGGCCTCATTTTTCTAAGAAACTGCTTATTGTATTCAAATTTTTGTTTGAAAAACATACTGTTTTTAAATCATGTTTATTTCTTCCTATAAAGTTAAAGAGCTTGGAGACCACACTTTTCATAACTGAGGAAGTAACATCCAGGGCTAGGAAATCATACACTGATCTCGACAGAGAATTGATTTGATTGATTGGATTGGATTTGATTGGCATGTTCAATTGTATAAAATGCCTTAAATGTATAAATAATATAAAACTTTCTTCTGGTCTGCATGGGTTTCCTCCAGGTATTCAGTTTCCCCAACAGTCCAAGCATTGTAGAATATACTCAGGGGTGTCGTAACAGGGGTCAGGTGAGGACGCTTTCAAGAGCCCTAATCAGAGAGGGGGC